CTTTGTTGGTTTCAATTTTCAAGATTTCTCAAGATTTTAAAATTTTTTCGAGATTTTTCAAAACTTGAAAATTTTCATATTCAAAAAAAAACAAGAAAAAATTTCGAAATTTTCGAATTTTTGACGTAGTTTTTTTTTTGCCTGTGATTCAGATTATTCCTGTTGGCGGTAAGAAACTGATTAATGGTGATCGGCAGAAGACGTTTCGTGAAACTGTTGCTGAATTGATCGTTTCAAAAGAACTTTCGGATTTGAATCGCTATGAAGATGGCTTTTCAACGGAGGGTTTCATCAGACTCATGGGAACCGCTGTTGTTAAAGGTGATTTTTTTTCGGCAAAATTTCTTGTTGCTGCCAAAATTGCTTTTATTAAAATTATATCAAAAAACCGGTTGCTTTTATCAAAAAATTTTTTGTTGCTAACAAAATCAAAAATTTTTTTTGCAAAATTTCTTGGTTACCAAAATTTCTTACTGTTGTAAAAGTAAGCCAAAGTAACGAAAAAACACCTACACACAAATGCCCCACGTGTTTCATTTTTTCACGATACTTAAAGTGCCATGAAATCGTGAAAATATCATGAAATTTTTTGAAACCGTGAAAAATCATGGGAAAAAAATTCACAATGTTTCACGATATTTTTAACGGCACTTACACACTTGCCCTAAAAGTGCCCCATTTTTTCACGATACTTAAAGTGTCATGAAATCGTGAAAATATCATGAAATTTTTTGAAACCGTGAAAAATCATGGGAAAAAAATTCACAATTTTTCACGATATTTTTCACGGCACTTACACACTTGCCCTAAAAGTGCCCCATTTTTTCACGATACTTAAAGTGTGAAATCGTGAAAGTGTCGTGTGGAAATTCTTGAAATCGTGAAAAATCATGAGAAAAAGAAATTCACGATTTTTACGATATTTTTCACTATACTTTCACGATATCTTCACTATTTCCATTTAATTTTATTATAGATTGCAGTAACCCCAGATCAGACTTGGACGATTTATTGGATGCTGATACTTTATGCAGGTTGTCTATAAAATATGTGTAGGAAAGAGCGTATAAAAATGCGATTTTTTACAGGAATGTATCCAAAAACATTAGTAAAAGCATGGGAAGAGTATGATGAGCAGTACAGATCCGAAAACGAACATCCACGTATTTTTGATTCTAACCAGCATTTCCTGCTGTTGGCCTACGAGGAAGGCGGCGTAGATTTGGAGAAATATAAGGTTTTTTTTTTTATTAAATATAAGGTTTTTTGAGGTTTATGAGATTGAGGTTTGAGGTTTATGAGGTTTTATGAACGGAAATATGAGGTTTTTTTTTCCTTTATGATGCTAAGTAGTGTAATCATTCGTCTTGTGAATCTGAGCAGAGATGTGTTGGAAGTACTACATGAAAGGGAATGGGACGATGTATAAGCGGATTCAGGGGAGAGGGGGGTGATGGGCCTTTCGCTAAAACTGAAGAAAACTCTCTTCCGCGCTTCAGGTTACCGCCTTGGTCCCCCCTCCCCCCTCCTCGCCTCCCCGTAGGAGAGCGTTCTGAATCCGTCTATGGGATGACGAGAAGAAAGTAGAGGAAAGTGAGTAATAAAATGAAGCATGCTAAATGTAATTAAATCAAATTGTTGATGGGGAAATGACCAAAAATTGCGTGTGTATGTGAGATATTGAATGGGAGGAGTGAGAATTGGGTTTTTTTAAAAGGAAATTGATGAGAATAGACGTAATGATTAAATTTAGTTACTCCTCTTCATTTTCTTTCCCTATTGCCTCTTTCCAGTTCTGATTCAAATGGATTAAAAATCGACTGAGAGAATGATTGGGGGAGGGGTGGGAGAGGGGGTGGGAAAGGGG